TCTTCAGCTAAAATATGAAATAAGTTTTTTGACATAACTTTTCTGATAGGTATTTGATTTGAAGAGAGAGGCTAATAGACCTCAATGAAAAGAAAATGTCTTCTTTGACATAAATGTTCTCAGAAACATTTGTTTCAGGGGTAGAGATTAATATTGTTGTCAAATGAGAAATATATTCTTTTGGTCAATTGCTAGCCTAAATATGAGTTTCTTTCAAACAAACTCTGCAATTACATTTGTCATTTGCCTTTCCCTAATACAATCAGGGAATCAATAGCAAATACAGGTTAGTCCTTGACTTACAACTACAACCGAGCCCAAAATTTCCATTGCTAAGTAAGGCAGTTGTTAAATGAATTTTGTCCCATTTTATGACCTTTCAGTCACAATTGTTAAGCAAATCACTCCAACTGTTAAGTGAATCATGCGGTTGTCAAGCAAATCTGACTTCTCTCATTGTTTTTGCTTGTCAGAGACCAGCTGAGAAGGTTACAAATTGGATCACATAACCCCCAGAATCAGTGCAACTATCATAAAGACATGCTAGTTGCCAAGTGCCTGAATTTTGATCACATGACCATGGGAATATTGCAATGGTCTTAAGTGTAAAAAAATAGTCCTAAGTCACTTTTTTTTAGTGCCACTGTAATTTTGAACAGTCACTAAACAAATGATTTTAAGCCAAATAATACCTGTATGAGACATTATATTAGCTGACAATGACATTAACACTAATGATAAGATACAAGCACAGAACTAAAGTGAACTGTAAGTGCCGTGTTCCCCAATTCATTGCATGCACGGGTTGGTAGCCTGTATGTAAAGTGTTTCACCCCAGCTCTATATTATTACTGCAAAAAACCAATAACAATTGGATTGGATTTTGCTTCGGGGACTGGATAATCAGAAGCCACCTTTATCCTTTTTTTTCAGCAGATGGGTGCACTTTGCTTTGGTCCCTGTCAATACAAAGTTGCTGTAAGGATTAGTAGGTCACTTTTGTGAAGGCATTGCCCTTATCCCTACATTGAAAGATCAGCAACACTGACTGTTTAAAGCTTTTCCCAAGCAATCTCACATGACAGTTGTCTCTTGGGAAAGCTAAAATGTCTTGCATTTTAGACATACTGCTTGCCTTGCCTTGAAATGGACCTGAACTTATAAGAAATACTAAAAGTTTCACCTCTTTGATTGTTAAAGATTCTGGAAGAATCATCTCATGAAAGGAAAATTATATTAGGATGTTTAAGAGCGAGATCTTGAATTGCAACAATAAAGCTACATTTCCAATAACACAGCAAGCATTCCACTTTAGAAAAACTCTTCCAAAAAGAGATATTTCACCAGGTGTTCCAATTTATATTTTTCCAGTGTGGCTCTACGGAATCCCATTAGCAGACAACTGATACATATATCAAAATTAAAGAAACAATCTGGGACTGAGAAAAACATATTGATTTTATGCTAATGAATTGGAAAAAAATGGGGAGATAAATTTAGCTCCCTACTTTCATAGTTGAAAAGCAAAATAACAGAATTTGAAAAGATATTGTAAAAACAACAGACATACTAATTTCTGGATTTGTGCCATCTTTTCGCATAGGTCATCTGTTGGAAGCTAAGGATAGGTTTCTGGAAGACTAGCATAGTATTTAGCCCCTAGCAGGATTTCTATTTTTTTTATCCAGTGAATCATCTCATTTCTTTTATGCTTCATTTGCGCTTATCATTTGTTGTTCAACAATGGTTTCATGGAATAGTCTCAGATCTTCATCAGATCAAGATGATCTCAAATAAATGATATGTGAAGTATAGATTTGTAGCAACAGAGTTAACGATTATCATAATACCTTTCAGGGCAGGCTGACACAGTAGCTGACACTACCAATTTTACTTACTAAATACAAGGGTTGCAGCTGTAAACTATTCAAAATCATCTATATTTTATACTTTTATAAAAGGAACAAAATTCTTCTCTATATGGGTCTAACCAGGCAATATCCTCCATAAGGATCTTGGGTGGGGAAGAATATATATATATATATTGGGTTTTCTTTTTTAAAAAAACTATTCTTTCTCTTGGAGGTACCGAAAACAGGTTATAATAAATAATTTAAATAAATGCTTCCTAATAAAAAATATAAAAAGTAACACCATCCGTTATCTGAAAAATAGATTAGTCCTGGATAGCCAAAAATACTTGAGTAAAAATAATGTCTTCAGAGGTTGTTGCAAAGAAGATGGTTCTGAGGCCAACTGAATGTTCTCAAGAAGTAAATTCCATGATTCACATGTTACCATTGAAAAGGTCCACTCTTAATCCCTGCATTGTGAATCACCCTCTGGGACCATGAACAGAATGTCTTCACCAGATGATCTTAGTGCCTGAATTGGAAGATACTGGGACAGGCAATAATTTAAGGAGTTGACTCCTAAGCTGCTTGTAGCTTTATAAAATAATATTAATTTCTGAAATTGGGCTTGATACCCTGCAAACTCCCAGTAGAGTTTTTTTCAGAAAAAAATGGCCCCATTTAGTTACCCAAACTGGACAGCTGTGCTCTCCACAAGTTTAATCTGGCATCTTCAATAACATGTACAGTTCTTTGCAGTAAACCAGGTGTGAGCTTATTAGAACATGAATCATTGAGGTTCAGCTATCTTAGCCCAAGTATGTTTATAGATGGCTCTCCTACAGAAAGTTGGACATACATTCTCCTTTGCCAACAAAATAACCTGTGCCCTAGAATAGCCTGCAATCACAGAGAGACCCCAACCCACACACTTGTTCCTTTGAAAATTGTATTTGCTCATCCAGAACAGAAAAAATGTATTTATAGATGGATGATAAGTGTTCAAAACATAAGGATCTAGGAAGCCTAAATTTCAAGGTAATGCTCATTGACCATTCCCTACAAATAATCCTATCCTGCACTTAATAGGAGCCATGGTAATGCTGTGGCTAGAATGCAATACTGCCAGGAGTTTGATCCTGAATGGCTCAAGGTTGATTTAGACTTCCATCCTTCCAAGGTCAGTAAAATGAGGACCCAGATTGTTGGGAACAATATGCTGACTCTGTAAACCACTGTGAAGCAGTATATAAGTCTAAGTTATATTGCTATTGTTATTAGTGGTTTGATTGCAAAGATCAGTGATGCTTGATGCAAGTGGGTTCATGAAAATTGTAGGCCATAGTTATCCACACTAAACTATGAAAACATGTCTGTATATGATTCTTAAGTATAAAAATAAAATTGTAAAAGTAGTCATTCAATCCATTAAAAAAGCATGAGCAAAGTAGCTATTTTAGAAAAAGTTAACCACAAAATTAAGCAAGAAAATGCTTAATTCACATATATTGAAAAGTTTCAGACTATTTCAGAAAGTCTCCACAAACAGAATGGACTTCTCAGTTTTGATTTCTAATTTCATACTATGAATATTAAATATTTATGAAAACTTTAACCTCATGAGAATACTGCATCTTGGATAATCTCTATTAAAGTCAACAAAAGTCATTTGAGGTATATGCCAAATTATTGTGATCTACAGCTAGTTCAGGTGTTGTAAAATCATAAGCCTGATTCGGCAACATAATGCACTTAGTAATGTGATTTAATTTGTGTTGTTTATTTGGAATCCATAAAATATTTACCTTTTTTCCCTATTCAAGTTTTTAAAACTCAGGTAGTAACCGAACTTTAGATATTTAGATAAATTAGTCACTTTAGCAATAGGTCATAGCACTTCTCTTGAACCTTAAAAATGGTATTTTAACCAACAGTGCTAAACATCACAGGCCATTTATTCTATGTTCAAAACAGAATTCTACAGAACTGTGCTAATCTACTCAATTAGTAGAACAAATATATATTTCATTCCAAATAGATGACAGTAACAACCAATATATAGTGAAATCATATGTATCCTTATTTCATGTATGTAAGAATATTATTATACAGATGATGTAACTACATTTTAGTTATTGAAATAAAAATATTTTTCAGCAAGGTCTGGAAAATCAAGACTTTACTGTATTTGTAATATTAATAATCAAGTTAGAGAAAGTAAATGTAAATATAGAACACACTGAAAATAATTTGAAGCACATAAAATACAAGTATATCGTGGTTTGTTGTCCACTCACTGAACTTGATAAAGAATTTGTGATTCTTATTTCTTGGTTTATATTCTGTGTTGTCACAAACTATTCTGAATCATTCTGAATTATCAGCAGTAATCTTTTATAAGTTTGGTACACTAAGAATCCAAATTATTAATTCCTTTGAAAACATAGTATCTATTTTACAGTTGGCAGGAAAACTTAGGAAGTAGAGGAGCAAAATAGAAAATAGGAAATCAATAAAAAACAACAAAGCACTTATGAATTAGAGGAAAATACAGTATGTTTGGCCATAAAATGAAAGTCAAAGAAAGCAAGAACAGAAATCACAGAAAGCTTTGAAGAGAATATAACATATTTTTAAGACAAGCAATAAATTAGAGTTTACACTATATTTTATAGATTCTTTCATACCTATTTGTGTAACTCAGACATGTCAAACACAAGGCCTGGGGGCCAGATGCAGCCCGCAATGTGGTTTCATGTGGCCCATGAAGCCATTCTGGAAACAGTGAGAGAATGGCCCCCGCTGCCTTGGCCCTGGCTCAGGCCGCCCAGGAGCCAATGTACAATTTTGTGGTGGCTATCTATGCTGAAATGCATTCAGTCTTAGCTCCACAAGGCTGTCTGGAAATAGCAAGGGACCGGCCCCTGCCGCGCACTGGAGAGGTGTCACTCTTTGTGAGGAATGTCTTGGCGCTTGCCCTGGTCCTACCCCCTTCTGCCAGAGACCCTCAGATCTGTCCCACTCCTGCTCAGGTCCCCACAGGCACCCTTGATGCGAACGATGTAGAGCTGGCCATGCCCACTGAATAGGCCACACCCATTCAGTAGGCCATGCCCACCCTGGCCACACCTACCCGGCCCCCTGAGGACAACCACAATGCTAAAGTGGCCCTCAATGAAATTGAGTTTGACACCCCTATAACTTGTATAGCACTGGGACTAATTATGACCTATTTTTCTCCCATGTTTGCCAATAGTGCCTTCAAATTCATTTTGGATATTTTGTGTCTAGGATCAATCCCTTCTTTGTTGTTGTACAGGTGTGTCAGGAAAAGGCTTCATTAGTCTTCATTTGTTCTCTTTATATTGCAGCCCTCTTCCTGAGGATTATTCTCAATATGCAGATCTTCCTGAGGATTATTCTCAATATGCAGATCTTCCTGAGGATTATTCTCAATATCTAAATCAAAGTTCAGTGCAAAATATAAATTAGAATAAGGTTATCAAGCTAAAAATCATATCACAAGTACTATTTAGCTTATTACATACTACTTATAGATTACATCATATTATATGTATATTTTATTAATACATTTAAATCCTGTGTTTTTTCTGGTTGCTCAAGGACTAATTGTTTTATTCTTATGGTTAGCTAAGTTGTGGGCTAAAGGATAATGACTTATTCAAGGTCACCCAATGAATTCCATTATCAGATAAGTATTTGAACCTAGGTCTTTCTAGTTCCAGTCTTACACTTAACCACTAACCGCAATGCCTCTTTAAAAGAATTCTAAGCCAATTTTGATGAACAAAATCATTGCCAAAAGCAAATGAGGTCCTCTATCTACATAGTCAGTTTAATGTTGAAGCTGAGTTCACTTTTCTTACCCTCCAGGGAGATGTCTATTCATAGGGAAAGTCACTGAATGTGCTTAATTGCAATACTGATAGGTTTAGCATAAAATATAAACAACCACAGTTGGGAAAGATATCTTTAAATTCAATATAGCCCTGAAATCAGTGGTGGGATTCAGCTGGTTCGCACTACTTCGGCAGAACCGGTAGCTAATTTTTTGTTGCCCAGGTCCAGAATGGACTTCTGGAAGCTGTATCCACACAGAGAACCAGTTGTTCACAAATTTGAATCCCACCACTGCCTGAAATAGTCTTTGATTAAAGTAACATCCCCTTCTGAAGACTAATCATATGTGGAGCAATTTTCAAAATCGTATACCGTACTAAACACAGAACACATCTCCCAAGCACCTGTTGGCTACAGGTACAAGCCATGCTTACTGCTACTTGTCTGGCCAATTTCTTAAGTGTCTGTGTTATCTTTATTTTATTTAGTTTTTATATTTTTACTTTTATAAGATCCATGTTTGCAGAAATATAATTAGATATTTCTTATTTTGCCAGGGCTAAATAATACAATATATAAATATTGTGCTTCTTTCAATACTCTTTAATAAGTTAAAAACTCTTTGTAACAAGTGTTGGTGCAGGTCTATTTATTAAAGTATTAAAATCCTACAGATGCTTCTTCTGAAAAACAAAACAAAACTAGAACTGTTATTTTAAAAATCATAATTTGATGTTTTGTCACTGCAATTTTATTTTCTGATTTCATGCCGATGCCCATTTTGTCTCATTAGGTCTTAAAAACTCCATTAAATATCAATATCACCCTATCTATTATTAAATCTTTCATTAATAAAAATAATCTTCTCATGGATGAGAAGATTCATCAAAACATTACATCAAGAATAATTGACCATTTATACAGAAAATTCAACTCATTCATTTTAATATATTTATGAATGATAATCATATCTTTCCCTCCTTGGAGGAATTCAGACATCTATCTGGGTTTATGTATAAACTGTTTTACTTTAAAAGTTTATATGCATTCTGACATTCAAGATGTCTAGCAGACCTGTTTCACAAGGTTGAGTCATCTTCACTACAATCTGCAACTGACAGCCTTACCATTTGATAAGAAGTGCCCACCCAGTGGTTCCAGAATGTAGTTGTGCTCCGCAGGGACCACCAAAAATATTACTAATTTGTAATTTTTTGTGCAATACAAGGGGGAAAGTATTAAATATATAAGTGAACAACCTATACATACAATTTTTGAGGTGCTTTTAAGTCAGTGTCGACTCCTGCAATATTTTGGGGAAGATTTTGGAAGTGGTTTGCCATTAACTTCTTCCTAAAGCAGAGAGAAAGTAACTGGCCCAAGGTCACCCAGCTAGCTTTGTGCCTTAGATGAAATTAGAACTTACAGTCTCCCAGTTTCTAGACTAATGCCTTAACAATATTAAATATAAATGAAATCAAATTTGTTTTTTTTTCCAGCTATGCCCATCCTCACCTCCCTACAAACTTGTGAACTCCTATTGTAAGTGCTATAATAATTTTTCAGTCCATTTGATGTTGAGGATTTAAAAAAATAATAATATATGTGCACTTTGACTGCTGCAAGGTTGCAAATGGAGATAACTTAATCATGGAGCACTTGGCAACCAATTGTTAAGTGTGAATAAGTTGCCAATCACCCAAATCACTATCACATAACCATGGCCAGAACTCTGAGAACCAGATATAATCACCTTCATTCAGCATTGTGATAACTGGGAACAGTCAATGACTGAATAGTTGTAGGTCAAGAACTATCATATTTATATTTGTCAACCCCTGGAGAGATGCCAGATCAGTTCCACTAGAACTATGTTTTATTGAAATGATTTTCAAATTTGGCAACTTCAAAATATGGGACTTCAACTCCCAAAATTGCAAGCCTGTATGAAACATATGGGCTATAACTATATAGTCTTAAATGTTTTTGAACTATGGCGTTGGAGAAGACTCCTGAGAAAGCCATGGGCAACCAAGAAAATAAACTAATGGATCTTCAAACAAATCAAACCAGAGTTCTCACCAGCTCAAATTTATCTATTTTGGATATCTTACAAATATTAAATTTTTTGAGAGGGTTCTAATGCTGGGAAATCTGGGAAGAAAGAGAAGAACAGGATGATCAGGAATAAGGCGGATGGATTCAGTTACAGTAGTGATGAGTACATTATTGGAAGATCTTAAAGACCCAGTTAGGGATAGATTGTCACAGAAAAAGTCAATCTATGTGGTTGCTAAGAGTCGAAATAGACTTGACAGCACATAAACAGATCAACACAATCATAAAAGCCTGACCGTATCTTGCCTGCCTTTTTTCTCATACTCCATTGTATTTCGCTCAAGTCAGACTGAGCTTTTTTCTAATTCTTCTTGTGTCCCTCTGCTTAAAGTATACTTTTGTGTTTGTAATTCTTCCTGCATAGTTTTTCCAAGGTCATCTCCCTTGCTCTCTACACCATATATCTTTTCAAATGGAAACTTTTATTCAATGAACTTGCCATCAAACAGAAATAAAAGCTATAAAAGTCCCTCACCTCACCTTCATATTAGAGTCTTGGACATTTTCCATGTTGAATTTTCCACACCCCTCTCACTCACAGCTCAAGAAGTTCATCGGGTAATTCACATTAATAAAACCAGGTAACAGTAATTATATATTAATGAATGTAATAGTGCAATAAATCGGCAGGAAACTGAAAATGACATACTGTTATAGATCCCCTTGGCTTTAATTATAAAGGTGCAACCATCTCATTTACTCTAGCAATTTTTAAACTTAGCACCAAAGATCTCTTGATATAATATTCCAGAATGCATTGCTAATAAGGTGTGCTTATTTAGTACAAGTAAGAGCCCCCTTGATGGGCATGTGGGCTTATAATGTTGTATCCAAGTGGATAAATGATGAGGTTGAAGGCCAAACTTTGAATGGATTGGATAACAGCAGAGGAGTAGACTGCTATTATTATTTCATTACTCTGGCACTTGAGGTTATTGATACCCATTCTTTAAAGTTCAGGGTAAGATTTAAAGTAAATGTGTTAAGCTTCTGTATGAAATGAATCCTCTCAGGACTAAATTTTAAAAAAATAGGATATATTTTTTCTGGATTGTTTGTGTGTTGAAATCTATAGTTTGACTCACCCAATTTGATGGGGGGGGGAGAAGCTGTTTTGTTTTAATGGTCTTCTGCATTATAACAGGATTCTCTTGTAATCTATAAAATTTGAGTTCCTTCTCCAAAGGGGACTGATTTTTTTAAAAAAAAAATTATTTCCCAAAAATTATTTTTATTTATTATGAAAGTTATTTGTCACCCATCTTATATCTAATGACTCTGGGTGGCTTACAACATAAACCACAATATAATAATAACAGGATTGCAAGTTAGCTAAAAAGTCAGCCAAGGAAAATGTTTTGGCAAGGCAAGAATTGTTCCAGGCAGAACATTAATCCAAAGGAATTGGGGCTAAATCATAATAAGAGAAAGAAACGGAGCTGGATTTTCTATTTGTTTCCTTGGATTTGAGAGATGTGTGGGCAGATCATCTTATTCATTTTCAACCGTTGTAGTTGGAGAAATATATGGAGCCAGAAAATAAGTTCTGGGGACCATATAAAAGCCTGAAGCGATATTTAGCACACATTGCTAAAAATGATATTATGAAGGGAAGCACTGAAGGATAACTACCCAAGGTACATAAGAGACAAAGGGTTGAGCTGCAAGCAACTCTGCTATGTTAAGGTAAAGAAGTCCACCTTACAGAGGATCCAGGTAATGACCTTAACAATGAATAACTTCATAAACTGGGTTAATCTGAATCCTGAGCAAAGTAACTAAAGAAAACTGATACTTCTATAAAAAAGCAAATAATTGAACAGATGAAAATGTGTTGCCCTCCTATAGTTACATACATACATACATACATTACATACATATATATAATTACTGTATATATGTAAATATTGTAATTACTACCAACCTTCTACAAAGGAAGAGCAGTAGGCATTGAGATAGCAAGTAGTTGTTAGAAGAAATATTACATACATCAGGATTATTCAGTCAAACCATTTATAGAAATATGATAATTTGCTTCTGAGGTCTCTGTAATCTTTGTTAATAGTAAAAGAACAGAAAATCACAAAAGCCTTTCCTCAATATCAGAAAGTAGCCTCAGGTCTGTATTATTCATGTTTCTTATGGAATCTATGATAGAGATTCTCAAACTCTGGGTCATGGTCTTCCTGGGGAGTTACAAATAATTTAGAGGCGGCATCAGATTTTTTTTTTTTTTTTTAAAAAAGCCTTAGGGATAGCAGTTGAATTTATAGTTCAGGGGCATTTTTCAAGCTTACAAATCTGTTTTCCACCTGCTTCTTTTTCTTAGCATAGGCAAACTTTCAATACTGCATCATTTACTTGATAATTTTCATTATGAAACATAATTTTGTTTGACTTTTCCTGGAATTACATATCTCTGCTGTTGTGTTTTATCATCATCTCTGAAATATTTGGAGGTGTATGTGTTAATGAAAGTT